ACTGTTTTTCTAAATATTTTCAATATCTATTCATATGATGCAACAAATTTATATTCGTTAGAGAAATTCGATGATGAAATATTTCTCATTAGATTATTACGATTGGGTGAATTATCATTCCATATATTCAAGGTCAACTGTGCATGAAAAAATTGATCAAGTAGATTTTGAATCAATTCGATTGTTAGAACTTAAATTGAAAGATTACTTAAATATTCAATTAGATTAAAACATTTTGACAATGAAATTTTGACAAGTAACTTTCGATTTCTCCTGACTTTGAAAAAAAAGGTATTTATTGTCCAATTGATTTAATTTTTATTAAAACCATCATTATTGAAAAATCATTCTGATAACATAAGAGTTCTCAAAGTTCAAATATTAATCAAGCGCACACCAATTCAAATTATATATATTCAAAATCTTGAATTGGGGATGGGTATGGGTATGGATAAAAGTGGAAAGAGTGATAACGCTAACACCCACACCCACACCAAGAAAATCTATGCATACTATGACAAGTTCTAATTCATGCTGCATTTTCTCCGAAGGATGTTGAAACATATTGATATCAACACTCTACGTGACGTCCAAGTCATTTTTCTCATTTAAAAAAGAAACGTCGCCAAGATTATCAAAAAGAACATAAATGATACCTAAATAAATTTCGTAATTAAAAATTTGATTCTTTCTGCTAAGCCATTCTAGAATTCTTCTGAAAGCTATTTCCATGCATAGGAAAAGCAGATGTGTCATAATTTTAATTCATATTTAGTTGAAGTCTATTGAAAAACCTATATCAAGATAAATAATACAAATAAACTTGTGAAAATGAATTTATATGAAAACGAAGAGAAAATGTAGTAGTAATAATCAATATTAATTTAATTTATTCAAATCCAAAAAACAATATATATCTCATATTAAGTAGAATTCTCGATCATTTTCAGCTGTTAACGTTAGTGAAATAAGGTTATTTACAGTACTGTTGGAAACATACACGAAAAACATGAATTTCTTTTGAAATGCCATTGATAACCAAAAATATCAATGTAGAAATGAAAATGAAAATTTAAGTTTTATGTGACTGTCAACAAATGAATTAAGTATTAACTAAAGTAACTTGTGAAAAATGAGGTTATATGAAAAACGAAAAAAATTTATATTGTTATTGAACTTGAGTAAATTAATATTGATTAGTATTACACCATATTCTCTTTTTCGTTTGTCATATAAATTCATTTTCTCAAGTTGGTGTGTGGGTGGATATGACTCTGAGTATGGTTGTTGTTGAAGACTTTTTCAACACCCACGCTCACACACTCACGTCGATAAATGCAAATGAACAGGTAAAATAAACTTGTTGCTTTTTGGTCAAAGTCAGATTTGATAAAATTAAAATTTTCACCACTTGAAATGATTGTCACACTTATTCGTTCACTTACATCTCTCCTAGTAATTTTTTTCTCAAGATCAAATTTATTGATGCATGACTTTAAATTTTTCAGGATTTTCAAACGATGCAATTGAAATGAAATAATTATCAATCGTCCGCATGCGCATCAAATATGTAATAGAGTAGTTGTTAATAATAGATAGACCTTTTTGCAGACTAGACAAGGAGGTAAAGTATAATTTAATAGTGTCCCTTATTCGTTCATTTCCTTTGTTTTGTACTTTATTGATTTTACTACTTCATTAACATAAGTTACATCAATTTGTGTTACCGTAGGTTTTGATGAAATCTGAACGATTTTGACTTTTATCTGTCAGCAACACTCTGATTCAGCTTATTCTTTTGTCTAAGAGCAACATGAAGAATTTCATGTATTCATTCACATGACACGTTCACACAAACAGTTAGGAATCTAATATATTGTTGCTAAGCAACAATGTATGTCTCACACTCGAAAGATGATTGAGTTCAACCTTACGACCTTTAATGAATAGGCTAAGAGAGAGTATGAAAAAAAAGACTCTGTTTGTAAGAGATTCATTTTTTAACTGATGGATTCGAGGGCAAAAATTTGTCTTTACTAAAGTTTCCTATGATAGATTGAAATATTTACTAAGAAGTTTTCCAACAATGTGAGTAATGTCATTTTTATCATTTATTTAACCCTTTGAGGAGAGAATTATTTTTTAATTGAAAAGTGATTTTCAATCCATTTATTTTGTTTGGCTCAAAATGGCTACATAAAAGGCTTAAGATAATGCATCATGAAAAAAGGAGAGAATACCGTGAGATCGGTGTATAGTAGCAGAGAGAAAGAAAAAGATTTAAGAAGGATCTTTATGACAGAAAAAAAAGAGAGAAAAGATATGTATGAGATGGCAAGTGGGGTAATCTATTAGCTCATAATGCGCAATAGTTTAATGGTAAGCAAATATTTTCTTTCCTCAAAAATAGGTGGTACAACATATGTACCACTGTCCCCAAAGGATGTATTCAAACAAATATCATACATATTTAATATATATGCTTAATTATTAATCTATTTCTTACTTTTGATCGAACTAATAATCGTTGTACCAACGATACAGTAGTTTATTCAAATGGAGGATTAAATTACTAGCTCTTTTTGTAACCCTATTTTAATGAGTTGTAAAAGTACGATAAAGTAAGAATTCAGACATGTGCTTCGTCATAAAGACGATCGACTAATCTGAAATTTATTTATCTGTTTTATTTCATGCGAGTTTCTTTTTCATGAGAATCTTGCCTTCATTCTTTATTTACCGTTTTTGACATTGCTTAATTCATATTCTAACTTGTTTCTAGACATCATTACCGAATACCAAGTCTTCAGTTCCAACAAATGAATCTTAAAAGACACATTCTAATCGTATAACTCTTGGTGATGTGGGTGTGGGTATGAGTTGTGGGTTGCTTCTTCACCTCACACCTGACTTACCAACTGACACCCACACTCCATCATAGAAAATACTTTTAAGGATGGTATTGGCACGGATGCTTCGTACTTGCCCCTCTTACTTAACTTTCACCTGTGAAATACAAGTCAATTTTAGTATTATCAAGTACTACCTGTATTCTTTTTGTTTTCAATTAAAAAATTAGCCATTTCTATCTTCATGAGATGCTGTTTTAGTTTTGTTATCTCATTTTGATAATCATTTGTTGTATACAGATATAAATTAAAAATTATCAATTATATGAAAGCTTAAAGTAAAATGAATTGCAATGTAACAAGTGTAAAATTTAAATATGTTTCTGGCATAAATTTACCTAAAGGTCACAACATCTACAAGAGACTTCATAAGGTTCAAATAAAGTAAAATTGCAGTTGAATTCAGAAGAGTGAGAAAATCTATAAGTATTCAGACTTTATAAAAGAACCTGCTATCTTTACTCGACCATGATTCTGAGAGAGCTATATCTCTAGTTATGATGAGACAGCTAGATTAAGCCTCACAAATGCTCTATGTGATGGAGCCTAATGTAGATTTAGTTCTCACTGGCTAGGATAAACTCGAACATTTTTCATCGCCTTTGGCAGCGATTCGTAACACTTCGATAATGAAGCAAATTCAGAAAACGACTTTTACAAGTGAAAATGAACAGTACAAGAAACTCGAGTTCGATAAATTACAAGTTGCCGAAAGTTTTCTTAGCCATCAATGGCTAATCTTACATGTCTAAGACACATTCTCACTAGAGTGGGTAAGTATACAATGTAATTACTTTTTTTTTGTCAATACTGATGTTTCACTAGTATTCTAATTTTTAGTGAAGCTGATCGAAAACTCTTCTTTCAAGTGTCGAAATTAAATAAAAGATGTTGCTGTGTTCCTTTTCAAGTACACGTTCTTTGACACAAACTGCAATTTTGCTTTGAACCGTATCAGTTTTATATATTACAAAATGTGAATTGATAATAAGAAGGACAATAATAGTGTTTCATGTGAGTGGCATAAACAGATTCTTCTCTTCAGCTTTTACCTTGTTTTTTTAGGCACCATGCACATCCCCTCTATGATTGATTATAATTTAAAGTTGACCATGAAAAGTAAGAGTGAAGTACGATATAAACGACTTTTCTTTATAATTTTAGAGACTACTTTGATTTATTTATTAGAAGCCTGTGCTATTTATTACTTGTACCAAAAGAGAACTAGAGTTTCGATGGGTCAGCTCTCACTCTAATTTCTTGTGTTTTATAATGAAATAAATGTCATGAGATTTATAGAAAAATCAAAAAAAGATTCTGAAAACGTGAATCTTGGAGACTGCTGCTTCAGTTAAACATTATACCAATTAAATGGTAGTTTTTGACCAATTTTTACAGCATAGCTGGTTGGACCAATGTTTAATTGTGTATTAAGGCATCTACTACGGAAAAATATATTAATTGATTATTAAAAATTAAAGATTTGTCATTTTCTTGCGAACTTATTGCATGCCGAACAATATCAATTTAGTAATGAAGAATTATTTTAATCAATGATCATTAATTAAATTAAAACAAAACTCATAGAAGTCATTTTTATCATGGATTAGTTCTTTGTTCGAATGAAATAGTGAAAATTTGACCGTTGCTTTAAAACTACATAAACTTTCTTTATCGGTATTTTTTTTTTGTGGTTGTGTAATACTTATAAAAGATAGACTAGTTTATAACTTCATTGAACTAAAGCAGGAAAAAATAATTCGCTTATTAATCTCAATAAATATCTGGATTTTAAATAGTGTGTGTTCTTAATGAATGATTAAGTTATATAGTCGATTCTAAATTTATGATGAAAATATCATTTAACAGAAGTTATTTCATATACAAAGAGATGATAGTTGATCAAATAAAATAAAACCGTCACCAAGGAGAAGATAAAATATAGTATAAATCATAAAATTATGAAAAATTGTTGAATTCACTGATCGTATTGAACATATAGAATTTATCGTATCGGTTTATCAAATTTATGATACGTTGCATATCATCACGAAGACCAGCTATTTATTTAATATTATCAGCTTTGATTATCGAATATATTGATGATGGAATTAATGTCCCTGTATCTTTTGAAACCGTTCAAAAAAATTGTTTATTATTATCTTTAACCTGACGAAAACCGGGTGAATCCATTTTGAACACTTATAAGATACGTCGATATTCATGATAATTGAATTTGTTTTGCGTGCTATTTAATCTTTAGTGTAATGTATATCATTAATCTTTCAAAGCGAGTCACATATATATAAGTGATAATTCTGAATTAACTCATGACTCGTGGACAATTCTTAGAATATTTGAAATATTTTTGTTTCGTTGGTAGATTTAATTAAGTAACACATACAAATCTGAAAAAATAAAGCCATGAATGAAATTTTTCAGTAAATCGGAGTAAAAGAGTAAATTAAAATATCATTATTTTGAAAAATTTTTGTTTGTTTTTGCAAAATGAACCCTTTCTTAAAGAGTTAAGTTCTATTAAATTCTTCTCATCAATCAATCTATTGGCAAATTAAAGGTTTCGTCAAATAGAAAATGAATATAAATGCCTGCAATAACCTCTAAAAATCTTTCACTTAAGGGTGTGGGGTGTTGGTGTACGTGTGGTTGAGCAGAATACTCGCATTCACACCTCACATCCTTTAATGCATCGCTAGTCTTTTCTTTCTCTTTCTTACCTATCTTACGATTTATCAACATATTCCTTCGCAGTACTTAGCTACGAGTTTTACAATAAGATACAGCATAAACCACAAAAGATAAACAATTTTTTCATTTGTCTTTCCCTTCGAAAAAATGACTTTATTTTTTGTAGAAGTGTGAAGACAATCTGCATTTCTCTGATAGAAAATATTAACTTAGAGATTTTTTTCGAAAATTGTGCATCTAGCTCCTATCCAATTCAATTAAACCCTTTTAAGATCAATTCGGATTGAATTAAAATGGCAGGTTATATCTTTAGTAACTAGACCATGTATGTATTTTTTTTCTATCGGAAATGTCATTACCAATGTCAAGATTGCCATGACATCTGTACTTTGAATATGTATTATTGCCAGTGTCAATCTTACAGTAGACGTTGCCTTGTTTTTATCTAGCCAAGAAATATATCCAATTATTAGATATCGATCAACTTCATATGATGAATACGAGTAAGCAACTGTGACACTAAGAAAGAACAAATTATATTTGATCCACATTACCTACTAATGAATGGTTATGACTACTTCTTTTTATTGAAAATACGATATTTCCAACAAAGCTTAAAACAAAGTTTAGATTTGAAATTTTGTCTTTAACAATACTACTCTTTGTACCAATCCTAATTTGTCCTTTGTTAGTGTCACAGGAGCTTACTCATATCCGTCATTTGACGTTTAGATACGCTTCCTTGTTAGGTATCAGTCTTCTGATAGAACAAAATCAGAAATGTTTATCCCAAACTCGCATATGTTGATAACATGGCTTATTATCACTAGAGTATTTTCTTGTAGAGTATGAACTAAATTTTTATGTCAATGTCGAAGCTAAGATAATATTTATTTAATCTTTAATGCTGATGAATATCAATAAAAAGTAAATATTGATCGAAATTTCAATGATTGTAGTTGTTTAATTAGAACTTCAATTAACATTGCAAAATTAATTGAAAGCAGTTTTTACTAAGCTAAAATAGAAAAAAAGAAGTACCGTTTTTTTGGTTTTTTGTTACGTGTGTGACAACTTGGGCGTATAACATGCATCATTATCATCACAGTTTTTTTGACACAAAATAAGAAAGAAAAACTGAAGATTAAAACGAAAAAAAAAACTGAATCACCGGAATGAATGAAGATTAAAAAGAAAAAGAAAAAAAAAACTCAACGGATAAATAACAATATTAAAACTGTCATGATGAATGAATTAAACTATCTTCAAATAAGGCTAATAAAAACATAATTCCAATGCCAAGTAAAAATCCAATATTAACAACAATAAAACGTTTAAAATCAACTTGTCCATCAGCTAATAAAGTCGGTAACTAAAATAAACAATATGAAAGATGATACTACGAAATATTCTCTACTAAAGCATACCAAATCAACAAGTGCTATATAAAGAAACATGCCAACAGTAACTGCAAATATCCATTGACGAACATTATTATCTGTCGACAAGGCTGCACCAATAAAAAATCCTATTATAGCAGTTGTAGCCGAAAGAAAATTCCATAAAATAGCTCGATAATGTGAAAAACCAGATTGTATCAATACAGCATAATCTCCTACATAACAAAAAAGAAATATGTTAATTAAATTGATCTATCCGAATATAAAAGCAATTAGTACAATCCCTGTAAGATGCAAATGTGAAACAAGATTGTTTTATTCAATATATTTTGAGATACATTTCTTCATCAATCTTTTACTTAATTCTTTCGAAATACAATAAAGAAGAAGTTCATATATCATAACTAGATGTTACTTCTATAGGACTTCTTTTAGATTGTGTTGAACATATTTACAAATAAATTAAGCGTATCAACGTTTCCGGAATTTCTGAAGAACGGTTGATTAGAAACATTTGAAATATTCCAGAACAGGTATGTTTTAACGAGTAAAGCAAAAGTTTGAATGCTGTCTTCTACTAGATGCTAGAATCACAATGATCGACTTTTTTGCCCTCCTTTCTTCGAAATACTATGTTCGATCAAGGTGAAAGTATTTTTTTTTTACAGCCATTAGACGTGTTTTTTTGGGAGCGATTATGTATTTTGTTTTTTGTCCTTGTAATAAAAAATGCAGAAATAGCGAAGAAACCGCAGAAAAGCATGTTTTTCTAATAGTATAATAGGTTTTTGAAACCAAAGAAGACATTCATCCCAGACAGTGTATCGGCTTGTCCACGTAACGCGACACTTCGCTGATCAAGTTTTGAAAAAATTTTTTTTCGAATTGGACAGATCTCAGTGGGGTACTAGATGCAGTTTTTTACGCTGATTACGAATTTGGTATTAATTTTGTATAAAAATCAGATTTTGGTATCGAAAACTGGATTTTAAAGTTTTCGAAAACCGTATTTTGGATTTTTTGACCAAGAAATTTTTTCAACAAAGGTCAAGAGACATACCATTCGATGCAGAATTAAATTCTCTACAAAATGGTCTATTTAGTTTTGACTTTGGCAGCTTAGAACAAATTGGAGACTTCGATACAATTCCCAACTTCCTGCTCAGTTTATGAGCTCTCAGATCGATGTATCAATCTCATTTTTGCATAGGGGATTGTCTACATAGAAAACAGTAACACTTATAAAAATCAAGTCATTCTGAATACATTAAGTGCCTCAAAATTGGTCAACAAAAAACTGTGTAACAGCGTTACGAAAAACGTAACAGCGTTACGTTTGTTTTTTGCATTTTTTATCTGAGCAAAAATATTTTAGAGAAAATTTTTTTTACTGCCTGAAAGCCTATTCAATGCTCTACAAAAATGACTCTCGAAGCATTACATTTGAAGAAATGGTTTCGCAAGAATTTAGAGTTTTCTTGGCGGCACTGGAAAAAAAGGGTCCTTTTATGTAACAGCGTTACGCCATGATAAAACCTTTCTAGATGCCTGAGACTTCAGTCAAAAAAGGCCATTTTTATACGATAAATAAAGTTCGATAAGCTGCGTCGAATGACGTTTGAACGAACTTCCTAGCTCTTAAACTTTTCGAGATAGTTGAAGAAGAATGTGTCAAAAACGTAACAGCGTTACGTTTGGACAAGCCGGTATACCGTATGTCACACAAGTTTCAGTGAGATCGAACGTACTAGACTGCAGAAATAGAAGCGTTTCTGCACTTTTTGCTTATTTGATTTCTTGAACTTTTTAACATTTAAAGAAATTTTTTGAATCCTAAAATGTACTCAGTAGATAGATAGTAGAATGGTCACAAGAAAAGCAATCATTTTTGATCATGAAAGCAGTGAACTATTCTTAAACAAAATTAACCTACGAAGATATCATCCGAGCTCATACCTATCGTTTAAGTTCATATTGAACTTACAAGACTATCTTGGTAGGACTCGTAAACGTTTCAGATTTTTCCTAGTCTTACCAAGACGTCCTCGGAGGCTCAATATAAGCTCACACGGAGAGTAAGAAACTAGCGAAATTCATTTGCATACATCTTATTGATAATATATAACACACTTTAATTTTATCAACAGAAAGAGCCATCGTTCTGAAAAGTGAGCCTTTATCTTCAACGAGATTTATAGAGAAATCTCGAAAGTTGCTGAATTCAAATAGAGAGCATTCATTTAGCGAAATAGTTTAAACAGACTCTGTTCAACAATTGATTGAAAGTTTTCATCATTCATTATTATCAAATATCAACTATTTCATTCATATTTATATCTTCGAATGAAATTACACTATCAAAATCTTCATCATTAATTTAAAATGTTTTAGAAATAATTTTTCTATTATAAATTCTTATATAAATGTTTCATTTTCAAAAGAAAATTAATCTTCAATGAAAAATTCTCACCAAGTTCATGAGGTAATTCATGAAAGGCAATGGCTAATGTTGTTGTAATTCCCAATATAAGATCTTGACTAAATGCAGCACCAACGGCAAGACCATCAGCAAAATTATGAATACCATCACCAATTAATACCATCCAACCTGTTGATTTAATTGCTAGAAAAAAAAAGTAACAATACTAAAATATCAATATTAAATTATTTTCATTTTTTATCGTGCAACAAAAAAAAAGAATAAACATCCGACACTTATATGTTAGTAAGATTAGAATAAATGCGCAAGCGATTAGTTTAAATAAACAAAAAAGGAACATAAACAAACCGTTCTCCATGCCAGGTGTCAGTGTAGAATTCACTGAAATGCATACATGTATAGAAAATCCAATTCATAACAGATTATTCTTTAATCATTTTATCCGTAATCAAATTTCTCATAAGAAGAAGAGAATAAATAATGATTTTACTTATTTACCTTTTAATTCTTGAATAACTGGATTGGTATTTTTTATTTCAGTTTGTCCATGTGGATCAGTTATAACAACATTTACTGGCATTTGATCATCTGTATCACTTGAATCTCTTCTTGTTTCATGTCCTACTAAAGCAGCTGTTGGTGGACGAATATCACTTGAATATGCACATGGTACACATGTTGAGTTTTTATTAGTATTAGCTTGACAATTTTGATTTGTAATCGATAATGATGATGCTACACTTATTTCATTGGATACATGCTGATGTAAATTATGATGTAAATGATTATGTAAACGATGATCATGTTCTAAATCAGCATCAATATCAATAGGTGTATGTTCACAAATTTCTCCATCTGGATGAGAATGGCCATGATGAGGCACATTATGACTATGACCATGAGCATGAAAATGAACTGAATTCTAAACGAAAACATGTAAAATAATTTCCAAAAAAAAAAAAAAAATGATTTATCGAACATACAGCATTTTTATGTTTATAATGAGCAAATGAATGAAGAAGCACTTCCAATAAGTAAAAACTATATAAAACTATTTAAAAAAATATAATATTATTTTTCTCTATTCATACTACATACCTAATACACTAAGTAACATTTTCCATACATAGGCAGGTACAGAAAATGATGTATGATCATGTTTACCATGATCACCATGGAGACCAAGTGCCTAAAATAATATAATGAAAAATTTGATATTATTTTTTTTTTAAAAGCCAAAAAAAACATACAATAGGAATTAAATGAAACATTGAATCACCAAAAAGTGTTCCAACAGCAAGAGCTGTAAATAGAGTTAGTACATATTGAAAAGACACTTTATATAGAATAGGAAAAGTTAATAAGCCAACAAGTGATAAGGCCGATACAATAAATATGGCTAAAAATCCATAACCATATCCTTCAGAAGAAAAAAAAAGAATTCATTTTTTCATAATAATAATAAAATTTTAATTCTAAGTAAAATATACTTTCAAAATTTGTTGTTGGTTTTCTTTTATTAGATGAAACTGATGAACTATGACAAGAACTATCAAGAATTTTTTCAGCAAAATCTTCATTACAGTCATGTTCAAAATCAGCTTTAGTAAATGATTTAGATTGAATTATTGGAGTATTACCAGACATTGAACAAAGATTGTAAGAAACATTAGATAATAAACACTAAATAAATTTTATAATATATCAAAAATTACTTTTTTTTCGTATGAACTCATATTTTATTTATGACTTACTGGTTCACACTCAACATTATTGATAGATAATATTAAAAGGAAAGAAAAAATTGGAAAAATTAAATGATTAATATATAGAAAAACCATGTCTAAAAATAAAATAATTTCATTTTTTTTCCTATTAGAATGATTCACAAATAATTAGTCCCAAAATCTTATAAGTTATCTCGAATATATTCTTAATCTATCTGCATTCAGAAGAAAATATAAAAATTAATTATATCTTATTGAATATTTTTAAAAAATTTGTTTTTTTTATCGGTAAATTAATACTTGATACACCTGCTTCGATACTTATCTTACTTTTAACTTTTCAAGATCAGATTACATGTATATACAAATTTACATCTAAATGATAAACCTTAACAATCTTTCTATTCATTCATACTTTCATTGGAAAATTTTTCACACAAAAAATTATGAATTGTTGAAAATCTTTTTCAGAAATACAATTAATAATCATATTTTATATTATTTCATACTATCGAATATATAAACAAAAACTAACAATGTTCAACATATATAATTGTTCTGCATATAACGGAAAAAAACAAACAAAAACACGATCAACAAGCTAAAAATAGAGCTTACTTGTACCATAAAAGGATAATAGAGTAAACGTACTAAAATCTACACTTCTGAGAAACAGAACACCAGCGTAAAAAATAAATAGAAATGTTCGAAAAAATGACAGAACAAACGAAGGAATCAAGGAATAAAGAAGAAAAAAAAAAGGAAAAAGAAATCATACTGCTATACGTTCGCTTTGCAAGGCTATGAGGGAAAAAGACCTTTGCAACTACCAGAAAGAAAAAAAAAGCCTTCGGTTGGATATAGTAAATGTATTGTTTTTTTTGACGAAGCAAATGGCCGACAAAGAGAGAAAATATCTCGACGCTCTTCTTCTCTCTCTCTCTCGTAACCATAATATATTATGTGAACACGCATGCGTTACAAAAGAAACGCTCTATCAGCAAAAGACCGAGAAGAGAGAGAGGGAGAAAAAGAAAATTGATGCTCGCAACACATGCACTAGGACAAGAAAAACACACATCGACAATCCACGTGGAGTCGACTATCTATATTAAGATATTCATCACCGCTACATATATTGTTGAAAAAAATTTCTTCTATTATAAATCTACTAACGCATTCGAATAGCTAGATTAATTTCTATGTCTTAATTAGTTGCTATAAGTATTTTTAGAAACCGTTTAAAGAATTTCCAGAAAAAAAAGAAAAAAAAAAACAAATATCAATTTCAATTAGATAAATTGAATAGAAAATTAATAATTTCATTTGCATTTTTATGAATAGAAAATTTTACTTATCATATTACGATGCATTTCTTGAATGATAATATAAAGAAAAAATAACTAATACTGACAAATTTTAAGATGAAACCTCTTCGATCACACACGTTTCGACATGCACATCATAATCTTTCTTAACATACCATTGATTCTATAAAAATAACAGCAATAATAATAATGATATCAAAAAAAAAATTTGTTTGAAACAAAAAAAGAATTTATGTCATTAAAAATCATAAAGACTATTTATAATCTATTCTTGACATTTTATTGATTACTCAATAAATTATAATAAAACTTTTTTTTTATAGTGAACATCGAATAATTGCTAATTTTTTCAGATAAAAAAATACATAAAATGATAAGTAGCAAATAAGCAGTAACCAATTACTTTATTCTCGAATACCTTTCAAATATCTAGAAAATGTGTCTGCTTCTTGTAAAAAGAAAAACTTTGCCGTTTCAAAAATGATCGAACCTTCTTTTAGTAGACAGTTTTTGATAAGTCCAAAAAGTAGGGTTCACTATAAAGGATTTATAGTTAACGATTAAAATTTTATATGAAAATGAAGTTTTAACTTTATTTAACACGTATACACATATGTTCGAAGAAAATGTCAATAACAATTGTTATAATTAATTATATAAACCCTTTCATATTTTTATATAATACTTAATAGTATTTATTGTATTATTGTTGTTATCTTTATCATTGAACTATCATGATACAATCAATATTACTTTAATTTAAATTCAATTATATATACATCTCAATTGATTTGATCAAATGCAATATCATTTTCTTTTTTCTGCTTATATAACCAAAGCACTTAAGAATTCTTTTGTTTTCAAAAATGTATATGTATAAGAGACTGTTCTAAGACTATAATTTGTCCATTGGAAATCTTTCATAAGAGGTTCTCTCTCTTTTTTTTGTATTATACAAGTTGAATATTTTACGTTAATGTTTGAAAGCGATACATATATATATATATATAAATGCCCTTGTTCTTACAACATACAACTATGCATGTATATGTGAAGAACGAGAATGTCGTTCGGCATGTGCATACAATCCCTCCTATTGTAAGGAATCAACATTGGTCGACCGACCGATTGGCCGCTTGCATGTACTTAGTCATAGTGAGCCGAGTAAGAAAGAAAAAAAATGCGAAACGTTCACTCTCTTCGAGAGAATACTGCCCTTTTTAGAGCGGTTTAAATGACAACGATAGAACGACCTACCGGTCATTTGATCATTCTTCTTCTTCTTCTTTTTCTTTGTACGATGAACAACAGTGCTGTTTTTTTTTGTGCTGTAGAGAAACGTTCATATGATAGAGATATGGCGCTGTCGTCTATCTTCGATTTGTAGAGAAGGAAGAAAAGCATACTATGTTGACCGACCTGTCTCTCGTTCTCATCTCAGACATTTTTCTTTATATTTATTGGCTATTTTTATTCATAATTAATAATCTGACTTATTGTACATATGTCTTTTTTGTCTAGATGACACTCTATTTAGTAACAGATGCATTTCGTAAACTTGGTTCACCGGGTATAAAAAATGATGATTTTTATGATCGATTAAGTCGTAAATATTCATTAATTATACTTGGTGTTTCATTTTTAATTGTCAGTTCATCACAATTTGTTGGAAATCCAATTAATTGTTATACACAAAATATTCCTGGTGGTCATGTAAGTTATGTTAATTGGGTTTGTTGGATAAGTTCATCATATTATGTACCATTTGAAAAACCATTACCGACACGTTATGAAAAAAAACCAGAAAAGATGTATGTTACAAAAATATGATTTTCTTTTTGTTGTTGTTGTTGTTATAAATATTGGAATCATTTATTTTAGTCCATATTATCAATGGGTACCATTTATTTTACTTTGTATGATGTTTCTTTTCTACTTACCTGGTTTCGTATGGCGTAATCTTAATAAAGCTTGTGGTATTAATACAAAAATTATCGTTAAAATGGTTACTGATATGGATCAATTAGATGGAGAAAAAAGAGAAAAAAGTGTACGAGCTTTAGCAAAACATATTGATAAAGCATTAGCTTATCATCGAGAATATGAATATGGATTTATGTATGTAGAATATTTGGTTTTGTCATGATTGGATAGACCTCATCATGTAACCTATATAAATTTTTCTTCTGACATATTCAGATGATGTTTTGGCATCGAAAACTAGGTTGACAAAACAAAATAAGAAAAGTCTATGAACATGGAAATAGACGAATAGCATTAGGTATCAATGGCCTTAATAGAACTTCAGTTGCAAAAGAAACAAATATGATATTCAAAATTAGCACAAAATTTTGCCTCGAATGCATACTCAATACTTAGGACTGCTTATTGTCAAACTTTGATGATAGAGAAAGCACAAGTGTGTGTATTCGAAAATAACAGTGAGAGACTGTAGGAACTAGAGATGTGCAGCGCCAGAGTTTCTATTGTTCCGATGTTGGTAACTTCTTTTCTAGTGTTCCTACTGATAGCTTCGGTTAATCACCTCTGGTTTCGATCCCGATTTAGAGAAAATTATTCCAGAACTTATTCTTATTATATCTAACATACAGTGGCTCCCAAAATTATCTGAGAAGGTTTCTTTTTCAATTTTTTCCTCTCCCTTAAGCGTTAGAAAGACTTCAAATAGTGATTTGAGTAGAGAAAATTGATTCCAATAAGAATATAGCAAAATAAAAACTATAGCAAGATTCGCAAAGACGGTATCTCCAGAAAACCAAAACCCTTGATAGAGTAACCAATTCTCTACAAAATGAGACGTCTCGGAGCTCTCTACGACCTTCTCTTCAAAAGTTATAAACATCACAAAACCCGGAGAAAAGTGAAATTTAACAGAAAAACGAGTGAAAACAGCATTTTTTTCAGTTTTTGTGATGCTTATAACAATTGAAGAGAATGTCGTACAGAGTTCGAAGACGTCTCATTTTGTAGAGAATTGGGTACTCTATAATTCTAGGCTGCTAAAACACCAAGAAATTAACGACTTACGGGTGCTGAAAATCTAGAGTTTTGGTTTTCTAGAGACCGCGTCTTTGAGAATCTTGCTATAATTTTTATTTCGTTATATTCTTATTGGAATCAATTTTCTGTACTCAAATCACTATTTGGAGTCTTTCTAACGCTCAAGGGAGCGGAAAAAATTGAAAATAAACCTTGTCGGATAATTTTGGGAGCCACTATTTCTTTTCATACTCGTTTTTGATTTATTTAGTCGACTAGTTGTATTTTTTTCGGTCATTTCTCTTCAGTTATGTTCTGATTGATATGGTTTATAAGATTGAAACAACTTTTTTCTTGTAGTCTCGGTAACAATTCTCTTTGCCACGATCTGGCAGATCTATTAATTATAACCGAATGTTCATGAGGGCACTCTAATTCAATTTTCTCAAACAATATTTTTCAAAAAGCTGCACATTATTTGTTTTTCTAACTATATGTCACATAAAACCAAAATTCAGATAAATTGTAAGGTTATCAAGACTTGTATCCAATCATGACAACAACAAAAAAAACAATTTGCTCAAATTTCAAATCGCTAACACGTTATTTTTAATATCTCTTAATTAGGTATAATATTCGTCGACGTATAGGATCACTTTGTTGTGTGATGAGTCGTCATTCAGGAAATTATCTAGCATTGACATATGTTTTTGTTAAATTACTTTATATTGTTAATGCTTTTGGTCAGATATTTCTTTTGAATGTATTTATGGGTCATGGATTTCATTTTATTGGTATTGAAACAATAAGACGTTGGTTAAATGGAGAAGATATGGCCGTTGTTGACCGTTTTCCACGCATAACAATATGTCCATTTTCTATTCGAGCACTTGGTGATAATATTCAACCATTTGAAGTTCAATGTCTTTTACCAATTAATATTTATAATGAAAAAGTATAGAATTATTTTATTTGTTTGTTTTGTTTTGATGAAAAAAATTCTTTGATTTAGATTTTCTTATTTATTTGGTTTTGGCTTGTTTTTGTTGCTTGTGCATCAATTTATGGTCTAATGAAATGGTTTTATTATTTTACATTAGATGCTCGAACAAATTTTATTCAACGATTTTTACAAGCAAATGAAATTCGTTATTATAAATCATCAACACCATCATCATTATCAACAACTGGTATTGGTTCAAATAGTGATCATGATGATCAAGTACCAATGAAACGTTTAGAAGATTTTGTTAATAATTATTGTCGTCAAGATGGTCTTTTACTTTTACGTATGATTAAAAAGAATACAAATAATGTTATTGCTGGTGAAGTTATTTGTGCATTATGGGATAATTGGAAAGTTATGCCACAAATTCGTTTTAATACATCATTAGAATCAGATCATTGTGAACCAATGATGAGTTTAGGTATTAAAAGTCCATTGAAACAACGTGATGTAGGTGAAGTTAATGAAAAATTATTACCACCAATGTGAAATATGTTATTATGAATTATTAAAATAACCTGAAGAAGAACTTTTGAAAGAGGATGATGACTTTGTTTCTTTTGTTTTTTTTCTGTTTTCTTCTTGTATACATACAGAACTTGATAGTTAGTTATATGGATTATTATTATCATTGTTGTGTATTGCTTTCTATATGTGTAGTGAATTAATAAAAGTTTTGTGAAACTCAAATATTCCGTTTGTTTTTGTTTGGAATTAAAATTTAAACGAAATGTGTTTATTTCAAAACATTTTTTTGTAATAAGATTTCAATAAGATAACTACTGTTTTATAGTTAATGAACTAGAATTGAAATGAATAATTAATTTCACAGATCGCATATCAATAACATCTAGCTGTATTAGATGTACTGCTTCTTTATTGGATTTCTGATAGATTAATGCTAGACACTTCCGATATTTGAGTTCATATTGGACTGACAGGTAGGTCAACAGAAAACTAGAAAAAATCTACCAAGATTCGTCTCCTTAGGTCTTCGGCATCGAGTTATGACTGGTTTATTGGATTTTTGAACCATTTTAGATACTTTCCGGAAGATAATGTAGCATCTATGAGGATAAAAATCATTATAATCAAAAGGAGACATCTAAGGAAGTTCCCTCATTTCAGCGTTTAACTACTAGCACCATCTATTCTAATTATATTTCAACTTTCTGTCAAACTCTTTGTAAAATAAAACTTCTTAGCATAATGAATTTCAAATATAATACCCTATTTTTATTTACTTCAGTTAATATTTCTTTCTTATGATTGGTTAATCTATGAAATACCCTTTTACGGACTTGATACGCTGGCAAATATTTCGATCAATCTCACACAATTGTATCAATTGGTCATCTGTTTAGTTCACAAAAAAAAAGATGCAATTTATGCTTAGGACTCTAACAATATTTTTATTATTGATTGAATCTATAAATTCAATCAGTTTTCATTTACCGATTAATACAAGAAAATGTTTAAAAGAAGAAATTCATAAAGTAAATTTTTTTTATTTGAAAACAAAAGAAAAAAACATACTTCATATTTTATTTAGGATACAATGGTAACTGGTGAATACGATGTAACAGTTCTTCCAGGTTTAACAACACATCTTGATGTAAAAGATACTAAAGGACATACACTTTATAATAAAGAAGATGCTACGAAAGGAAAATTTGCATTTACAACAGAAGAATTTGATATATTTGAAGTATGTTTTGAAACGAAATTACCACATGGTCAACAACAACATCATTTATCAGCAACACATACAACAAAAGAAGTAACAATACATATAAAACATGGTATTGAAACAAAAGATTATGATGCTTTAGCTAAAGCTAATAAACTCAAACCATTAGAAGTTGAATTAAGTCGTTTAGAAGATTTATCAGCTGCAATTGTATCAGATTTTGCTTATATGAAACAACGTGAAGAAGAAATGCGTGATACAAATGAATCAACAAATAATAAAGTTCTTTATTTTTCCATTTTTTCAATGTGTTGTTTAATGAGTTTAGCTATTTGGCAAGTACTTTATTTACGACGATATTTCAAAGCCAAAAAACTTATTGATTAATATATTTTAGTTAAAACGAACTATTAATATTGTTTTTTTTCTTTTCTTTTTTCGTTTTCGTTTGACTTTCTTTTATGCATTCTAATAAACAAAAAAAGAGCCTATTATTTCATACTAAGGTTTTGTTTTTATTTTTGATTAATATCGGTTTTCTTTTTCTTCTTTGTTGTATTGTAGAAAAAGTGTTCTTATAATATTTCCACTTTGTTCTTTATTGGTTTGGGATAAGGATCATTTAACTAAAGATAATCAAAGATTAGAGAAAATAAAAAAAAACAGACGTTTTTCATTTTCTTTTATAAAACTTGATTAATCAAAAGATTTTAATTTTCGTTATGGATAAGCAAGTTACTGAAAAAAAGTTTTTATTCTTATCCACATTCATTGTACTGATATACAAGTATTCCGATGAAATAAAAGCCAGCTGATTGTTGTGACTCATTTGAATCGACTTCAACTATTGAATGATGCATGGTTTGTTCATTTTTGCGAAACTCATATTATGTTATTCGAAGAAAAACACAATGAATGTAAACTTTTATCTTAGATGTGGTAGTTCCTTAACAACGAGAAAATGCACTGAACGGTATTACAAAAAATGATAGCTTGTTCTAGTAAATTTTGTTATCGCAACCTTTTTGAAGCTGAAATAAAGCGAAGATTAAACAAGTAATCAGTATTGGTTTCATTTCTACTGCAAAGATTGGAACAAGGGGAGTGAAACAATCAAAGATTCATTAATAACGATTAGCATTATTGACAAACTATCATAGGTTTTTTAATGTATAAAACTGAATAGAACATGGGTTAGTTTATGATAAAAAATTCATTTTCTTTTTTTTTTCATCAAATAATAGCGCTGTGGTTTTTAATGATATGACAAACAAAAAAAAGCATTCAACGAAAGTCATAGTAGTCGAAGAATGAATTGCTCTAATGATATTTCACATGGAATGAAACAAATTTATGATAAGTGTGGATGTTTTTGAAACGAGAATCGATTGATATACTCAACAATTCTTTCATACTCTGGATTCGACTCGCACCTTTAAAATAATCTCAAACGAAGCACCGTTGATTTCACCAAGCACATTCGTCGTGTATTATAGAGAAGAGATATTGTGTAGTGAGCATGAATGTCGAGACCTTGAATGAATCATAGCTGAATTGTTTTTCAATGATTTGCAATCACAGCTGTATCCATGTTCCTTATCCCCAAAATGATGCTTCCTGTATTCTTTTTTGATTGTACAATCGGGTGCAATAGAATTTTACAGCTTATCATTGTAAGTCGTCTTGTTTTAATAGCTTCTGATCAATTCCCTATGATTAATATCTTTGGCAAGGACGAAACCTGTCATTGCAAGTCTGACTTCTGCACTCTGAGTCTTTTCTTTGTAACTGTTTACTGTTGCCGTATGTTTACATTAGTCGTTCAAGGTATTTTTTCTCACAGTCATTGGTTATCATCATAGTAATTGACCGTGAAGCAGCGTTGATAATTGTTGTAAAAAGCACCACACACAACTGTCGTTTTTGTTTGATTGATACTTCGGATGATAAATCAACTTGATAAAAACACTTCTGATAATAAAAGAATGCATTGAAACGCAAGAATACTGTTTACTTAGAGTTTTTGATGCAACACAAGAATATTATATTGTGTTGCTGGACGGCTCAAGTAGAGTGTGGCTGCAGGTCTGATTGTAGTTCTAAATCAAGAGAAGATTGATATCAACACCAACACCCGCCATTTTAGAACTAAAAGCTCTACAAATTTTGAAAGCTTTATCGAAATCGGTAGCCTATTCAGTACATCATGGTTGAATTCATATGAAATTAACCTTCTTTATCTAAAATAACTGCTAGTGCTTTATTCTGTTAAAATGTTCGCTTGTCTCAATTATTTTTGTCAACGATGTTGGCAAAAAATTCATGTTGGTGGCATGTTATCACGTGAAGCAGTGACACGTCAGTCGAAATCGGCACAGCTAGCCTTTCAGCTGACCCTACAAGAAGAAATAGTCTATAGTGCTATAGGTACAAGTGGATTTTAACTAAATCAATGAATATATATATATATATGTATATATATTTCTGTACATGTTGGAATTGATGTTTCATTTTGAATTTAAATTTCTAGTGACCGTTGTAAACAGATGAATGGCTCTATATATATGTGCTCTCTTAAAATTTTTTTTTTACTTTTTTTTTCACACATCTCTTGTATTTAATGTTATGAGGATCGTTGATATAATTGAGTTGAGACTTTTCGGTATTTACCTAAATTTACGTTAATTCGAATTCTTTTTTTCTTTTTATTAGATATGTTCTCAAGCGCGTATTAACCTGTGTCTTAGTTATTATTATTTTTTCTTGTATTTCATTTACGTTTAATAAATCAGTTAACACATTCGATACGATTCGATTTTATGAGAGAGTAGCTCTACAGATTCATTTCCTTGTGCATTCATCTTTCGATAAATACACTCCTTTGTCTTTTCATTCTGTGCTGATCTGTCATTTTCTCTTTTCTGTTTGTAACATCACATGAAGCAAAGTAACCATTCTGCAGTTTGGTGAAAGTCTTGTGAGGTTTTTTCTGCATGGCATGCCATTCAAGAAGCTGAATCAGCAACCTATTTCAAGCGTGAATTCACTGATCGCAAGCTCAAAGAAAAGGAAGGTTCTACGCGCAATGTCGACAGATGCTGTACTGGCTGCTATGCGAAGGGAAGAGCACAGCAGTCAAGAGAATCGAGCTATACAGTAGCAAAGAAAGTAAAAACCTTCTATTCTGACTGTGATAAATTTTTTTGGTCTTGATTGTTTTAACAAGAAGCATCATGCTATGTAATAAAGGACTCAATAAAAAGTACTGAAGGCAGAACAGATAACACATTATGTTTAACTTCCTGTCTAAGAAAAAAAGCAAAAGAAAGTACCTTTCTATACAGTTTCTCGTTAAAATATAGCGTGGTCCACCGGTGAACCACATCGTGACGAATGTGTTAAGGCTCATTTTCACTTGAGACAGCATTCGTAATTCTGGTGAGTTGTTATTAGCACATCATTTTGTAGAAAATTTAACTGTAAACCTTTTCAGAGTACAATCATCTTGATCGAGTTTGCGAAAGAGAAGAGATTACAAAAAATACGAAGAGAGTATAATACTTCTTCTGACACTTCAGAACTATTAAGTTGATACTTTTTTTCACGCGCCGTATTATCGAACATATATTTTTATTCTTCTAAACAAAAATAAAACGCATACATGTGCCTCAGTACATGTTTGCCGTTCACTCGTATCCATAGACGAAAGAACGACATATGTTATAAGCAATTTCTTTCCCGACACACTGTAATAACATTTCTCTTTTTCTTCACACTCACATGACGAATGTGTATCTAGTGTTGTTTCTCTCGGATAGAAAGAAATGTATCGCTTTCAGTTCAAGATCTCTGGGTCGTTGAAATATTCAATAAGAACGTTGTCATCTGATTATCCACTATGTCGCCAATCCAGTCCTTAACTAACAAGACTCACTGTTTTATCATTTAAACATACAGAGATATGTATCAACTGTATGAAGACGATCGAGAATATGTTTTCAGCACTGATCTCTCAAATTTCCCTCTTTTTACGAATACTCCCTTTACAATGAACAATTCGATCTGATTCCTAAATGTTAGAATTAGAGAACTTTTACTATTTATTAGAATTTCCTATTTAAGATCAAGAACAATTTATGTTGGAACCCTCCTAAGCATTTTTTTAAATGTACGTTTTTATTTCAGATAAATGTCGAAAGAGTATGAAGTTAAATGGAACATGAAAAATAACATATTAGGTTCGTTAATGATTTTTTTTTACTAAAAGTGAATAGATATTATCCCACTTTTTTGCAGTATCTTCTACTCGTTTGGAAGATCTTTCAAATGAATTAATCTACGAAATATTTAATTATCTTGAAAGTTGGGAAATCTATGAAATATTTTTTCAATTGAACATTCGATTTCAACATGTATTCGCTAGTCCAATTTTTCATCTCGAAATTAATTTACCCTCAATGTCAAAGAAGAATTTTGTTCGTCGATGTGAAGAACTTGTAAAACCGAATATTACTCGAATCATTTCACTTTCTCTATCGAATTATTGTGCCATTGATTTCTTTCTTAAATTATTCTCGATTCATTCATTCATTCATCTTGAAAGACTCATTCTCGATGGTGTAACATCAAACAATCGTCTTGTTCAACTTCTCAATTCTCTCGTGTCACTACCACGCCTCTTTACACTTTCTATTACTTTATCAAGTTATTATGTAGATGAAAATAACATACTTCAATGCATTTTTCGTTTGCCTGTAGTCAACTATTGCAAATTAAAATTTCGTGAAAATCTCGATCGTCGATCTCTATCATGTACTCATGATAAAAAGTTTCAATGTCAAACACTTAAATATTTGGTTATCGATGGTGATTTTTGTCTTAATCAACTTACTCCAATCCTGACTTATACACCTCAATTAACATATTTATCATGTCGATTTCGATCGGGATTCGATTATAAAACCAATGAACAATTACTTATGCCATATTATTTGACAGATATTTCCTTAAAATTTCATGATGTTTCATTTGATGAAATCGAAAAATTTTTATCTAAAATATCTCATCAATTACAACGTTTACGTTTAACAATACACATGAATAACATATTTCTTTGTGCTGAACGTTGGGAACAATTAATTACAAATCATATGCCTCATTTATACATGTTTGATTTTATGTATTTGATTTTCAAATACTATTCTTCGAATGATTATATTATCTCGAATCAATTATTCGATCGTTTCAAATCATCATTTTGGAAAAATCGAAATTGGTTCTTTCAATATCAACATTGGTTATGTGATAATGATGATTTTTCAGGAATATTTTATTCTACTCATCCTTATAGGTAAAATAATTATTCATTATAATAGATGACATTAAAACTTTCGTTGATCTTCTTCGATTTCAGAAGAAAATCCTATGAGTTATATCGTTGCGAGTCCTATGAAAAGACTATCAATTCAGTTTCTCATCTGAAGATTGGTATCGATTGCATGCTGGTCGATAGTTTGATTTATTTTTCAAATGTGACTGAACTTACACTTATTGAAAATGATATTGAAAGCAATGATCGATCGATGATCAATATCAATCGTATTATTCCTTTGACACAAATCACTCATTTAGTAATTCAAGATTCACATTTTACTATTAGCCAACTTATTGAACTATTACGATACTCGTTGAATATTCAATCATTAACCTTTATTGGTATGTCATTTATCGATGAATGTCCTTTGTCAACTGAACAGATTGATCTAGTTCGTTCGATATCAGAGACTAGCAAAGTTACTGAACTATGCATCGAAGATGATTGCTCGTTAGAATATGTTCATTTTTTTCTTGATCTTTGTCCATGTTTGCAACGTCTTGAAATTATTACCCTCGAAAGTCAACGCGAATCAATCGTACAATTCTTACTAGCAAGTAACGTTCTAGACCTTTTCTGGCTATGCTTGGGAAATATAACGTATGAAACGAGCAAAAAAATTCAACAAATGATTGATCGTGACAAACTAATTGTTGACTATAGTATCCTATATCATTACACTGAATTGTATTTGTGGTGGTAGATTATGTTTGTTTTTTGTTTGTTTGATTCTATCTTGAAATTTTCATCAATAAACTAACAGAGATGATATCATTTTGAGACAAATTAAATATATAAAAAAAACTTTCTTTCAAAATATTTATATTGATAAAGAGACAACATGATTAAAAAATTTGCAATACAATCGCTTTGTACTTTGGGAGCACAAACTTGATTAACTTGTGTGTGTGATTCTGTCGACCCGATTGTTTGATTAAAAAGACTTGAATAGATGTTTTCGTGTAACTTTTCTTAGGTAGACTATGTTTGAACAATAATAATATCATTCATCTATAATCTTTTCTAAAAATGAAAAGTTCTGTACTGCTCACATCGAATATTAGACCAATTCGAGTCAAATTAATAAATTTAAATTATAAGCCGTCCATGGCGTGCAACGAGCGGAATAATGGATTTTTCAAGTATTTACGGGATATATAAGATGCACACAAATCAAAATTTGAATACGATTTATTTTTTAGTTTTTTTCATGGTGGTTGAAACGGAGTTCTTCGAGTTATATAAGAAAAGTGTGTGCCAAACTTGAAAACAAATTTTAAAACCTTCAAAGAAGTCAGAATATTTTATTCTAATCCCTTGTTTGTAAAGATAATAGTATCTTGGATATACCTCATTATTTTTGTTTGCCATTTTCATTTCACATGTATACTGATGTTAGCAACTGATCATAAATGGGTTTTTTTGTCTATCAATTTGATGACTGATCAGACTAGTTTTACATATGCTTTGATAGCAGTTTTTGAGAACTACAGAATGATATTAATCTATTTACAAGGAATTGCTGAACTGGAAGAAAAAATCTAAGGAGAATGTTTTGTGGGTACAGTTTTGTACTTTTTTTTCGACTATTACTTCATAGATTTTGCTTAGAAACACTGAGATCTTTGCCAAACCTATGTGATATTCTTAATCCGCTTGCAAAACAGAGTAGAATAGCATGATTTTCATTCATTTTTTATATTTTCATTGTCGTCGAAAAAATTTCCCCTGGCTCATCTCAAAGATAGGTAAAAGAATTGTTTCAACAGCAACAATAAAATTCTTCGGGAGTTAACTTTATCTTTATCACGCCCACATCTATGCATTCAAAGTTATAATGTTACTCGAAGCATGATCCTTTTAAAACCTATTAATTAAATTTCTATGAACAGTTGAAGATGTTTTCTCTCTTGTGCTATTTATATATCTCTAATTTGTTATGATCCGAATCAGTCGTTTTGAGTTCTCGCAGAATCAAAACTACCTCGAATATTTGCCCGAAATGTTCATGACCTATCTTGTGTTATTAACTAAAACTCTGTATATGACTATGAGGCAAAGAATGAAATCAAAGCATGACTGAAAAGCATGAATCTTGCCCGCAATCATAAATATGATTAAATATTCTATCATAATATTTATTTTCATATTAAGCCTATTATAGCAGTCAAGCGAAGAAAGCGCTTCACATATTCTATATTTACTTAATTAATCATTCGAAATATTTCAAAATAAGAACAATATACGTTACGTCTGGTTAAAAGTCATTTGATCGATTCTCACATAATAATTTCTTCCAATCGCAAGTATAATAGATATATGATCAGTTTTCGTGATGAATTATTCTTCGAAGAAATGCTTATGATTGAATTATTTTCTAGTCGTATTTTGGATAAAAATTGTCAAGATAACATTATAATAAATAGAAAATGATATATGTAAAAACACGGTAACATGCTGATGAAATGTTGCACAACGTGTACATTATACTCACTGAATGACGTCATTTGAAGAACGTAAAAATGAAAACAGAAGTAAAAACACGAAGCATTTCTTATCGATTTTATATTTAACAACGCCCATTCGGAATTAAATCTCAGTGAGTATTATATAAAAAGTGATACTCTTCGTCTCCGTTTCTATCATATTGAATTTGTGAAAATTATTATGTACATAAATAGTTTTCTATCATATTTTCTACATTCTTTTGATAAAAATACTGTAGAGCAAATGCTAAAATCCTTCATACATACATATATGCGTGGAACAAATAGTTATAGTCTGTATTATAAATCTATCGTCATCATACAAAAAAAACATTATTAATAAAACAAGTACTTATTCTGCAAGCGCTCAAATTTTTCTATCATTCTGTATATTTATATTTTAGTCTGCACTTATCCACTACGAAAATTGATCTATTGTAATAAAGACACTCCCATCAAAGTTAGTTTTAAAAATTTTTCATCACCATGAAATTGCTTTTTTAAAAAAAGCTAAGTACGTATTTTGATAAAGCATGAAGTCCTCTATCATCCTATATACTCTACATTCATTTTGCATTTTATTTGCTGCAACAAACAAATGTAAGACAATAGGTAAATAAATAGAGTGATAGATAATTGGAAGCTCTATCTTAATATATGCTCGGTTTTTTAAGAGGAATTCTAGTGATAAAAAATTTTTAAAACTTACTTTGACGGAAGTACCGTTATTATACTCGATTTATTTTGATAGTGGATAAATAAAAACTAAAACATAAATACGCAAGGTAATAGAAAACTCTGAGTGCTTTCAGAGTATGTAATTATGTTTTCTTTTGGGGAGCGTATATGCATAACAAAGAAAATTAAAATATTTTTTTTTCTCTTGAACATTTCAAGATCTAAATGGCAACAAATACATCTTCTATTCCTTCCTGGGCACAAAATGCAACCGTATATGGATCAAACGATTCTTTTCTATTACTCGATATTTTTCCAAAAGACGTAGCTGATGATCTATTTTATAATATACATGATGAAGTTAAATGGAATATCATGCGACAAAGAGGTAAACGTGTACCACGTGAAATATCTATACAAGGTACAATAACCATTGAAAATGATGATGAATATGAACCACTCTATCGACATCCAGCTGATGAACAACCTGAACTTGTTTCATGGACATCAACAGCATTAAAAATTAAAGAACGAATAGGAGAAATTTTACAACAAAATTTTAATCATGCATTAATACAATATTATAAAAATGGAAAAGATAATATAGGTGAACATTCAGATAAAACATTAGATATTTTACTTGGCTCAAATATTGTTAATTATAGTCTAGGTAAAATTTTTATATAAAAAAATAATTCAAGTATTCATACAAATTTTTATTTCGTTTCAGGTGCTGCTCGTACAATGACTTTAATAAATAAACGAGAAGATGGAATTCGGCAAGAATTTAAATTACCACATAATTCATTATTTATTTTGGGTTGGCAAACAAATCGTGAATGGTATCATGCAATACGTCCAGATAAACGATCTAATTCCGAAAAAGATCCTGATGAACTTGCATTTTATGGTGAACGTATATCATTAACATTACGAACAGTAGCAACATTTATAAATCGTCGTACGGGTCAAATCTATGGACAAGGTGCACGATATAAAACAATAGCTGAACAAATAGATAAATCACCTGATGAATATGAAAATGATGAAATGGATATGGTTTATGCATTTAGTGCTGAAAATCGACAATCATCAGAATTTGATTGGAATATAAATTATGGTCGTGGATTTAATGCACTTAATTTTAAAATTCTTAATTCACATAATAATAAAAAAAGAAAATAAAGATCTTGAACATATTTTAAATAAAATTATTATTAGCTTATTGAAACTTTGAATAGAACCTTTTTTTTCACATTTATTATCCAATAGTTTTTCTATTTAAATAAATCTTCTTTTTGTAAAAAAAAATCACAACAATAATAACAAATAAAGGCTTTTAACAGGAATTAGAAAAAAAAACAAATACAAAAATAAAAACAGCAACAACAACAACAAAAAAAACATTTTATTTTACTCCTATTACGCAATAATAAATATCGAAGAACTTCACTTAATCAATACCATCATCGATCATAACTCCTTTCACTGTATAAGTTTTAATACAAGTATCGAGATGTGCAAAAAGTATTTCTAAACGTCGATCAATAGCAATAAGATGTTCATCAACAAGAATCATTTGTAATGCTTCATTAGTTTTCAATGATTCTGAAACTAATTTTGATAAACCTTGCTGATATACACGATATAAACGTGCAAATGTTGTATAACGAAAAAAACAACATTGTCGAATAGGTGATAAAATTGATAGATCATCACTATCATATCGACCAAAACTTCGACCATTATCTAAATGTACTAAACCTGTATTTGTACCAAATGAATTAATACGCATCATATGATGACGATCCAAATTACCTAAAATTAATATAATAAAATAACATATAAAAAAGAACAACAATTAATTTACCTATAAGAAAGTCAAATGCTGATAAATCCATCATATCAAGCAATAAACGATTGTGATAATCTTCATCTATCATAACAGATTCATAACAATAATTTTCATTTGATTCCCATTTAGCTTGTCGTAATGAACTATATGATCGACGATATGGATGAGTTATTTTTTGCCAATTTATTTCAGGTGGTCGTGGTAAAAGAACTTGAACAGAACCTTCTAATCGATCACCAGGTTTACCACAAACAGCATGTGATGTATCACAATAATATGAACAATGACCACGGAAGCACGTATTATTAGCTAAAACGAATAATTCAGATACTAAACGTTGTTTCACTCTTTGAAGATGGAATTTTTTTCAATCAATTTGTCTTATTTAGCTTTATTGCTTTGGGAAAATTAAGTGTTTTCTCAAAGAAATCATGAAGTCATTGTACAGTAATAGCAGAGAAAAAGATACGCAAGGAATGATAAATGTAGCAACCTCTGACCTTGAATATCTAATATTTTAATGTAAAGACAATATTTTTTTTTTCTATTAAAAAAACAGAAGGTGACAGAGCATATGTACCATTATCTTTAAAGTTTAAAAAAAAAAAGTTTCTTTACCAGGCGAAATAAAAAATGTTTTAGCTAATTCTTCTGTTGCTTTCTCACGAATATCACTTGTTATATTAAGGAATCGTCCAATTACTGGAGGAACACGATTAAAACCTAGAATTCTAAAATTGATATTATTATTATTATTATTATTAACAGAAAAAAACAAAATTGAATAACGCAATTTACTTGTCTACATGAAATGCTGCTATCTCAGCATGATGTCTTTCAATATCACTAAAATAGAAATGATCTGGTAGTGTTTGATAATTACGCGGTACTCTATATAACCAAGAAAAAGAAATTAAAATTTTGTCAGAATAAAAAAAATTTCAAAACCTGTAAGGTTTTAATACTGCTTGAAAACCACTGGGTAAGTTGAGGACAACTTTAATCTGAGTACCTTGTGACATTTCATCTAAAAAACCAAAATACGTCAAATGTAAAAGAAAAAACAAATTTCATTCACATACTTGCTTCAAATATTTGACCGTATCTCAAAATTTTTAATAGATTTTTAAATTCTGGACTATGTGGATTATAGATATGAAAATTAGTGACCGTTTTTATGTATTGAAACCATGTTGTATTCAAGATTCTGAAACGATAGAAAAAAAGACAAGAGATTTATTATATGCAGGAAAGTTATTATTATTGAATTATCCGATCATATTAATTAACAGCTCATGTATCAAAGGAAAAAAAAAGAATTATCAAGAATTTTGATTATATATAAGAAAATATTTCTATTGTATTTGAAGGAAATATTAACAAAGAATAATGAAATATTAAATTTTATTGAGAACGAGCCTTCATATTCGGTTTTTTTTTACATCAAACTCATCTATTCAGTTTTATATGTTGAAAATTAGATTTCTAGTCGATCCTATTTATTCCAATTATATATGCATGAGCAAAACAATTGAAGTAATCAACCGTTATGAAATATTTTTCTTGATGTTTCCATATCAAACGTATAAAATTTGTAACATTAATAGCAACATATGCATAATAATTACTTGTCTATACAGGATATTTCATAACTATTGAGTTTCAACAAAATTAATTTATATAAAGATAGATACTAATTCTAAACTGAATATTTTTATGTGAGCCTTAAATGCTTGTGTTAGGCTTCCAAATGATAAATGATTCAATAATATATTCTTCTCTTGTGATAATAAAAATATAAACACATGAAAATTTAAAGATAAATATTTCGTAATCGATCAACTTAATTTGTTAATAAAGTGCTAAGCAATACTAGATAGAGCAAAGTTTAGTAGGAACTAATAATTATTTATCTTAACTCAATTATTCAGCATACATCATGATCCAATGATTACATATTCAGCCAAACTATTTACTCACATAATCGACTTTCATCTCAAGAATGTGATGCTAAATTTGCTGGTGAACAGCCTTCTGTAAGTATATAGAGAATATTAAAGGAAAACATTCAAGAAAAATATGATTGATCAAATTTCTCAAAGACTTGGCGATGAATTTCTTGCATGCTTTTAAAAGATATCTTCTTGATCGATTGAGAAAAATTTATTCTCAAATTCTCATCTTTATATTTTTATGATTACAAGTGAAGATATCATCCAATAATATGCCATTTGAAAAATCGACACTAGTACCAAAAGGTTCATATAAAGACGTACAATAAGGAATTAGTATCTGTCTGCATAAAAACTAAAGTTGTTGAGCCTCAAGACTAATGAAGTATCTTTTAGACATAACTTTGAAAAGAAAGAAGATAATAATTCGTATTCATCAACGGCGGAACTAGAGTCGAATAGAATTGATCAATGATAATACGGCAAACTAAATTATAGCTTTCAAAAAAAAAAATATCGTAAAACAAACAGTTATTTTTTTTTTCCTTTCATAACAAAACATGCGAATGGTTTGATGTTTACATCAGAAAAATATTATGATTAAGCTCAACATTCTCTTTTTATTAAAAACAATATAGTAATCCATAAATAGAAATTTCCTTATACATAATAAAAAACAACTTCCTTATATTTTATGGTTTTGCTAGAAAAAATACTCGAGGCTACAAATGATTGAATATTAATAGTTTCTTTTAAAGCATATTTTATTCCATCAAATTAATCGACTTATGTTTCATTTTGAATAAATAAAAGCTTTTTTCCTATACTCAAAGTCAAAAAATATGACAAGTTTTTCTTTTTTTTTCCTTGTAAGTCGATAAGAAAAATCTTGTTCCTATTCAATAGTTTTTCAATTGACGTTATTAATGAAAAAAAAAAACAATATGCAAACGATAGTTAGATTAAGCCTTAAAACTCAGTATACTATTTTATTTACTTCATTATGAAATGCTTGAATGCATCACATATAAATTCATTGATAATGTTACTAATTTCATGCTACTTAGATTTCTTATCATATTCAGAACAAGAAAAAGAGGAAGACTATTGCACACAGTCAACATCATTTATTATAACTAACTCTACCTGACTGAACCCATTATTATTTGTGAAGAAACAAAAAACAAACTATGAATCATCAAATGAATTGCACATGGCAGAATTCACTATACTATCTATTATGTAAATTGATGGGTTTATAATTTATGACTGAGACAGTTTCGGTTAAGTATGAATAAAAAGAAAAACAAATATGTACTTACTGTGGTTCATCTTGTGCTAATGCATCATGCATAATATCGGCTAAACTGACACTTTTATCATCGAAATGTTCTTGTTTCCATTTGTGTAGTTCATAATGTATGAAATATCGTAATTGTTTTTTATCATATTCATTCATAGTTTTTTCTGCTGTTGTAAAATTAACTTGAAGCTTAGAATTATTCATTTTCATACCGACTGAATCAGCTGTATCAGTATGTGTATTTGTATCATTATTAACATTTTGTGATCTTTGTTCAACAAATCTTTTAAAATTCCATGTTGAATCAAGAGGATAATATTTTTTTATATTAAATGAATCGATTTGATCATTTCGAGCATGACGTACTAATTGAAAAAGTTCATCGATACGTTGACGAGTTATATGTGAGTAATGATTAGTTAATTTAATTGATTTTGTTGCTTTTAAATCATAAATATTTTCTTGATTGAGAGCCGAGAAAAATGATATACCATCAGGTGATTTAGGAGCCTTTGCAATTCGGTCTTGCTTGTCAAGTTCAGCTGTTGACCATAATAATGTATGAAATGTTAGAAGACAGAAAAGGCTTAATGTCGTTAAGCTGAAGAGAATTGTAGAACGTAAACGAAGACGTAAGTACCGCATTCATTTATTACACAACGACACGATGGTTTGGTGTCTTTTTCTTAAAAATAGAGAAATGCATGTTACACAGAACTTGCTTTTTTCTCTTCCTCGAATTCTCCTAGTTCTCTTTCTCTTCTATTTCTCATTTGTGTTTTTTTTTCTGAAGACATTGTTAACAACTCGAGTAACTTTATTATTCTTTGCTTATTGTAGGTTAGTGACGATTATATATTTTTTTTTGATGGTTTTGTCTAGCTGTATTTATATAGAAGTTGAGAGGCTACGTGTTTTTATTTAGCTGAATAGAGCAGTTTTTTTTTTTTTTGTTAAACAATATTAATTACGATTTCTTTAAAATCTTACATTTATTTTCAAAACTTTCGAAAATCGTTGAAATGAAATTTTTTTATGCTGATATTTCACTGAAATAATATTTCTTTAACTGTAT